GTCATGCAATCAGCGTGGTGGGAACTGCTGGCTCCCCCTGGGGAGCTGGCATTTTATTTTCAGTAAGTTTTCCTCTTATTTTTTTTTTCCTCCAGATTTTCTGGATTTCATGGGCAACGCCAGATTTCGCAGATGCGAAATCCACCAAAATCACAATTTCAGCAGATCCCTAGTTATAAATGTATCAAGTCAGAATGGCAGGAGATTCTGAGTGGAGTCGCACAGGGCTTTGTCCTGGGCCCGCTGTTCACGTGCTTATTGGTGATTTGGGTGCTGGGATAGAGAGCTCCTCGAGCTAACTTACAGACGACACAAAACTAGGAAGGGCTGTGAACACCCTGGAGACTTCGGCACGATTCAGAAGGTTTTGATAGATTGGCAGACTGGGCTGGAGACGACGGGATGAAGTTCAAGGCGGAAAAAGTCAAGGTGCTACACGCTGGTAATCAAAAACACAGCTACACAACGGGTGACAACTGGCTGGATGGCAGCACGGTGAGGAAGGATCTAGGAGTCCTGGTGGACTGAGTCTGCAGCGTGACACAGCTGCAAAAGCTGAGTGCAGTTACAGGCTGCATCAACAGGAGCATTAGGTGCAAAACAGAGGAGGTGATAGCATGTCTTTACTTGGTACTGGTTAGGTCTCATCTATTGTGTACAGTTTTGGACTCCACATTTTAAAAAGGACATGGAGAGGTTACAGAGGGTCCAGAGGCAAGCAACCAAAATAATAAAGATCTTGGAAGACAAGCCATATGAGGAGACCTTGAAAGAAATAGGCATGATGGCATTCCTCTCTGCTGGCAGTCTCTTTCTCTGTTCTTCCTCTCAGGTGAACTGACAGATTTGGTGCAAATTCCCTTTTTATGTTTTGCGCCCCTGCAGTTACCTACTTTTCCAGCTGCATGGCCCATGTGACAGGCTCGCAGTCTCTAGAGGCAGCAACTGGTGAGCAGCAAACAGTACCGCTCTGCAGCGAATCCTTTTTTGGTCTAGTTGGGTCTGCATGTTCAGCTTGTGAAAAAGGCAATAGGCAACATGATAGCAGTCTTCAGACACCTGAAGGACTGCTGTAAAGATGAGGGAGAACACCTTTCTTTCCATTGCTCAGACAGCAGGACAAGTACCAGTGGCTTGAAGTTGCAGCAAAGTGGGTTTAGCTTGGCTATCAGTGGTAGGACTGGGAGGCAGTGGAACAGACGGCTTAGGGAATTTGTGGGTTCTCCAGCACAAGGTGAACAAGAAGCGATTGGATAAGCATTGTTCAGGGATGATCAAGGATAGGGTTGTCCAACTTCTAAGTGGCCAGGGGCCACATGTTTCAGACCACATAAGCAGAGACCACACCAGTGGAGGCAATAGACCCAGCCTCCAGCTGCTACTTATGCTTCCCCACTGAGCTGTGACCCTTGGTGTCCCCTGCTGCTCTGCACCTCCTGACCCCCTCTGTACCATAAGCCCAGACACCCCCTGC